GGGGCATGTACCACGCATATTCTACACACACACACACACACACACACACACACACACACACACACACACACACACTGCAATCAGAATTGACTTCAACTTCACTTTCAACATGCAAACATGCAGGTGCCGATGGCAGAACAACTTCCTCGAAGTAGGATGAGCAACAAGAGTGAGATGGCGCAGGGCCCCCACACAGAAAACTCAGAGATATGGCCTTCAGCCAGGGACTCAGCTCAAGCCAACTTGTCACATCTCGTGGCTATGGCGTCTGAGCGCCAGTCTGAAATTCCCACGTGCACACTGTATCCACCATCAGTCTCACTCCACTCACTCACACACACGTGTACACACGTACTACGATCAACCTGAATGTCCGCACACACACACACACACACACACACACACACACACACACACACACACACACACACATATCCTATCTGCTACACTGGCGGTTATGGCCGCCGTCGTCTCCCTCGTACTAGTGGCTATGGCCGCTCGCCCTCTTCCCCCTTCGGGAACTGGCTGACCACCGGGGAACTTCAACGCACAAGTCACTTGGACGGCGCGTTCCACGCATCTCGCAGGCGAATGAATGAATGCATTGGCTGGTTGCTGCCTCTTTATTTATACTGTTTCGTTAAGTGGTCTGGGCCTGCCCGATGTCCCAGGCCCGTAGGCTGTGCAGTCCCACTTGGTACTCGCTGACTAGACTAGGACTGGGACTGTACTTGCTGACTAGACTAGGACTGGGGCTGTACTTGCTGACTAGACTAGGGATACTTGACCTTTCGGAGTCTGAGGGACAGACTCCTAAAGCTCCGAAGGGTCAGTTTGACGTTTCTAGAACCTCCCTGACGACGACTGACCTTTCGCCACACCGTGGGCTAGACTTATAGACTGACCCTAAGATTACTAACTGACCCTAAGATTACTAACCCGTAGGTCTACGGCTCAAGTCCACACGAACCAGACTACATACTCCAAACATCTGTGCACAAGTTTAGGGACAGGTCGCAGGTTCAAAACACACAGCGTCAATGGGCTACTATACAGTGGGCTGGGGAAGGTATAGGGATCGAGTCTTGGTGTCTGCAACATTGTGCGAACTGGGTAAAACCCTTTCAGGCTTTCACACACACACACACACACACAAACGTGGCCTATAATACTGCTTCTCTATTTTTTCTGTTTTATGGATGCTTTGTGATGATTCCTGGATGGAATGAGAGAGAGAATTTGGGATTTTTCAAAACACACGCACACACACACACAGATGGGGGCCTGTCTCAGGGCACAGTCAGACTAGGACTTTTTAACTTATTATGGACGTAATTGCGACAAGATGCATGCAGGTCCAGTCGTAGTAAATGCGGTCAGATAAGTTCAAGATAGCGCAAGTGTGAGTACGCCCCCCAGATTAGCACTTTCCCAAATGTACCTACGAGTAATTACGGCCGGCCCTGGATGCAGGTCTGTTCGGACAGCCTTGAGGTATCGTCGTCGAACTGTCTGGGCCCAGGTAATTCACAGATTTTACTTATCTCATTCCATCAGGATTCGAACACAGGTCTGCTTATCAACAGTCTATGGGCATACCACATATGGGTTCGGTAATCCTAATTTTATCTTCTCCACCAGCCCCGGCTTCCCGTCCCCTCTCCCCCTCCCCCCCAAAACAAAAGAGCAAAAAAAAAAGAAGTAATCCTAATGTCCACCTCCAAAACCCTGTGAATGGCTTACGTCCAAGACCCATTTTTTAGCTCCTGCACCATGATTCCGTGTGAGACATGCATGCATACAAATCGACGTGTGCCCGCGTCCATGCAAGCCTACATGTGCATTCCCACCGCCGTCCACCTTTCCCCCATCCTGCACCATTCCCAGGGGGCCATGCGTGCATGCATGCATGCACATTGACGTGTGCTCGTGACCATGCAAGCATGCGTGCACATACCCATGGGCATTACGTTTACGTGGAAGCATGCATGCATGCAATGCATGCACACTTACACTTACACGTCGCATTCCAGGTATGCATGCATGTCTACGTGCATGTCTACGTGCATGCTTACGTGCATGTCTACGTGCATGCACACGTCACACAAAGACTGAATTTTGAAAGAGAGACCAGAACGCATAGGGGATCGACCGCACGTGGTGCCTGAATGGTACATTGCTGACAAACAGACCTGAGTTCGAATCTCCGATGCAATCAGCTGCTGAATAATAAATACCTCTGAATCACCTGGGGCACGTCGTTACATCAAGCCCCGCCACCCTTCAAAAGAAAGAAAAGAAAAAGACGGAAACAAAAAAAAAGGTGAAAAAGAAAGAGAGAAAACCACCCAGCCAATTTTTTGTTCTTTCATGCACCCACGTTCTCTCTCCCCCCCAACCCTCCCTTCTCTCGCGTACTGCATGCAGGTTTTCTCTTTTCATGCCCTCTGTTATACCTCGCTCTTGAGGCCTCTTCGGCTTTTAACTTCGACATGGACGCATGCAATGCATGTCCCATCCAACGCCACGCCCAAAGGGCTGTCTCTTATACACATCTAGATGTGTATAAGAGACAGGGGCTCGGCCGGCCGTGTGTCCTCTTTGAGGCCTTTT